AAAGCCAATTCTTTCCAATAATAAAGGTTGGGGATTTGATAATATGGACACCCAAAAGCAGTAAGCCCACTGTCTTTCAGTTGCAGGAGAGGGTATGGTATTTAAATGAAATGCAAGGCCAGGTGCAGTGACTCACACCTGCAATCCCAGCATTTTGGGAGTCGAAGGCAGGAGGACTGCCTGACCCCAGGAGTGTGAGACCAGCCTGGGCAACATAGTGAGAACATATCTCTAAAAAAAAAAAAAAAAGGAAGGAAATCCAGCCTTTTTTTGTTCTAGGGACATATTACTTAATATTTAAAGGGTAAATATTAATAATAATAGTAATAACCGCAGCTGACGCATAGTGCTTTCTATATGCAAAGCACTGTTCTAAATGTTTTATGTATATTTGTATGTGTTTGATTCTCATAACAAGTCTATGAGGTAAATACTATCATTATGTCCATTTTATAGATGAGGAAGCTGGGGCACTGAGAGCTCTGTGATTTGCCTGAGGTCTCACCATCATTAAGTGGTGGAGCCAGGTTTCAAACTCAGGCAGTTTGCCCTTCAGTCCATGCTCTTAATCACTGTGCCATGTTGCTGCTCATTCACTGCAAGAAGATTAATGACTAGAGTCCCTATCAGCAGGACCACGCTCCCAAGGAGCTCAGAAATGTGTTTTTGTGACTGACTGATACGGTTTGGCTCTGTGTCCCCACCCAAATCTCATCTTGAATTGTACTTCCGTAATTCCCACATGTTGTGGGAGATGATATGAATCATGGGGATGGTTTCCCCCATACTGTTTTCGTGGTAGTGAACAAGTCTCATGAGACCTGATGGTTTTATCATTGGTTTCTGTTTTTGCATCTTCCTCACTTTCTCTTGCCGCCACCATGTAAGAAGTGCCTTTTGCCTCCTGCCATAATTCTGAGGCCTCTCAAGCCATGTAGAACTGTAAGTTCAATTAAACCTCTTTCCCAGTCTCAGGTATGTCTTCATCAGCAGCGTGAAAACAGACTAATATAGCAAATTGGTACCAGAGGTGCTGCTGAAAAGACACCCAAATGTGGAAGCAATTTTGGAGCTCCATAACAGGCAAAGGCTGGAACAGTATGGGGGGCTCAGAAGAAGACAGGAAAATGTGGGAAAGTTTGGAACTTCATAGAGAGTTGTTGAAGGGGTGGCCTGCCCCTCCACACCTGTGGACATTAAGTGGAACAAGAGACTTGAGAAAAGAAATGAGACACAGACAAAGTATAGAGAAAGAAAAAGTGCGCCCAGGGGACCAGCGCTCAGCATACAGAGGACCCGCACCGGCACTGGTCTCTGAGTTCCCTCATTATTTATCGATCATTATCTTTACCATCTCAGAAAAATGAAGTGGCAGAACAATAGGATCATAGTAGGGAGAAGGTCAGCAGAAAGACATTTGAATAAAGATCTCTGTGACATGGGTAAGTTTAAGGAAAAGTGCTGTGCCTTGATATGCATATGCAAACATCTCCATAAACCTTTTTAGTGCATAAAGAGCAGCATTGCCACTAGCAAGTCCCACCTTCAGCCCTAAGGCAGTTTTCTCCTATCTCAGTAAATAGAACATACAATCGGGTTTTACACCCAGAGGTTCCATTGCCCAGGGACACGCAGGAGACAGATGCCTTTCTCTATCTCAACTGCCCAGAGGCCTTCTTTCCTCTTACACTAATCCTCCTCAGTCACAGACCCTTCACGGGTGTCAGGCCAGGGACCATTAGGTCCTTCCCTTCCCATGAGGCCATATTTCAGACTATCACATGGGGAGAAACCTTGGACACTACCTGGTTTTCCTAGGCAGAGGTCCCTGCAACCTTCCGCAGTGTATGTGTCCCTGGGTACTTGAGATTAAGAGAATGGTGATGACTTTTCACAAGCATACTGCCTTCAGGCACTTGTTGAACAAAGCACATCCTGCACAGCCCAAAATCCGCTAAACCTTGAGTCACCACAGCACATGTCTCTTGCAAGGACAGGGTTGGGGTAGGGTTACAGATTAACAGCATCTCAAATACAGAACAAAATGGAGTCTCTTATATCTACTTCTTTCTATATAGACACAGTAACGGTATGATATCTCTGTCTTTTCCCCACACTTGTTGAGTGGCTTTGACCAAAAGCCTAACAGCAATATAGACAAAAAAGTCCAGCCTGAGGTGGTCTCAGATGGAGATGCGAAACTTGTCAGGAACTGGAGCAGAGGTGACTCTTGTTAGGTTTCAGCAAAGACACTGGTGGCATTTTGCCGCTGCCCTACAGACTTGTGGAACTTTGAACTTGAGACAGATGATTTAGGGTATCTGGTGGAAGAAATTTCTAAGCAGCAAAACATTCAAGATGTGACTTGGGTCCTATTAAAGGGATTCAGTTTTATGAGGGAAGCAGAGCATAAAAGTTGAGAAAATTTGCAGCCTGACAATGTGATAAAAAAGAAAAACCCATTTTCTGCAGAGAAATTCAATCAGGCTGCAGAAATTTGCATAAGTAACAAGAAGCTGAATGTTAATCCCCAAGACAATGGGGAAAATGTCTCTAGGGCATATCACAAGTCTTCACAGCAGCCCCCTCCCATCACAGGCCTGGAGGCCTAGGAGAAAATGGTTTTGTGGGGCAGGCCCAGGGTCCCCATGCTGTGTCCAGCCTAGGGACCTGGTGTGCTGCATCCCAGCCACTCCAGCCATGGCTGAAAGGGGCCAGTGTAGAAAGAGCTCGAACTGTGGCTTCACAGGGTGCAAGCCCCAAGCCTTGGCAGTTTCTACATGGTGTTGTCTTTAGGTGCACAGAAGTCAAGAACTGAGGTTTGGGAACTTCCACCTGGATTTCAGAGATGTATGGAAACACTTGGATGCCCAGCCAGAAGTTTGCTGCAGGGGCAGGGATGTCATGGAGAACCTCTGCTAGGGCACTGCAGAAGGGAAATATGGGGTTGGAGCCGCCATATAGAGTCCCTGCTTGGGCACCTTCTAGTGGAGCTGTGAGAAGAGGGCCAATGACCTCCAGACCCCAGAATGGTAGATCCACCTACAGTTTGCACCATATGCCTGGAAAAGCCGCAGACACTCAACACCAGCCTGTGAAGGCAGCCAGGAGTGAGGCTGTGCCCTGCAAAGCCACAGGGGTGGAGGTGCCCAAGACCATGAGAACCCACTTTTTGCATCAGCATGACCTGGATGTGAGACCTGGAGTCAAATGAGATCATTTTGGAGGTTTAAAATTTGACTGCCTTGCTGGATTTCAACTTGCATGGGCCCTGTAACCCCTTTGTTTTGGCCAATTTCTCCCATTTGGAACAGCTGTATTTACCCAACAATACCTGTACCGATTGTATCTAGGAAGTAACTAGCTTGCTTCGGACTTTACAGACTCATAGGCAGAAGGGATTTGCCTTGTTTCTGATGAGACTTTGAACTGTGGATTTTTGGGTTAATGCTGAAATGAGTTAAGACTTAGGGGGAGTGTTGGGAAGGCATGATTGATTTTGAAATGTGAGGACATAAGATTTGGAGGGGCCAGGGGCAGAATGATGTGGTTTGGCTCTGTGTCCCCACTCAAATCTCATCTTGAATTGTACTCCCATAAATCCCACATTTTGTGGGAGGGACATGGGGAGAGATAATTTGAATCATGGGGGCAGTTTCCCCCCTATTCTCATGGTAGTGAATAAGTCTCATGAGATCTGATGGTTTCATCGTGGGTTTCTGCTTTTGCATCTTCCTCATTTTCTCTTGCCACCGCCATGTAAGATGTGCCTTTCACCTCCCACCATGATCCTGAGGCCCTCCCAGCCATGTGGAACTATAAGTCCAATTAAACCTCTTTTCCTCTCCAGTCTCAGGTATGCCTTTATCAGCCACATGAAAATGAACTAATCCACTGGGGAAGGTCAGGGATTTGATAACATGGACACTCAAAAGCAATAAGCTCATCTATCTTGTAATTTCAGAAGAAATAAAATTGCCATACAAAAAGAGGCAATTTCATCAGAATATCAGAAAGAAAAATGTGAGGTCTGAGAAAAAGAGAATTGATTTCTATTGAAATGACAGCCAATTATTTTTATTCTGAGGCATAGTACAGATTTGCATAACTATCATGGTATATTGGGAGGAACGAGCAGTATGCTAGTTATTAATTTATTGCCTCTCAACTCCAAATCCACCATCTTTGTTTGCTTGTGTTACAAAGCTGGATTCTGTAAACATTTTTCCTTTGCCAGTTGGTACAAGATTTAGACTTTGTCAACAGAGGATGCTGAAGGGACAATGCATGGCCATAGGAAGAGAAACTAACTTATTTTCCTGGTACCAGTGTGCTGTTCTATTTTTATTTGTTGATTTTCATTATTTACTGATGTGGCTGCTAGCAGATCCACTTGTGGAAGGCCTGGTGGCACTTACCCTAGTGGGCTGCTTCCTATGGACCAGTTCAGGCCCAGCCACACCATCTAGCAAGTTCCTCCCCCATCCAACAGGCCACTTCCTGTGGACCAACTCCAGATTGCCCTCCTCCCCCAGTGAATTAATTCACCCTTTAGGCCACTCCCACAGCCCAGCTCCAGCCTGCACCCTGGCAGGTTTCTTTACCAACAGGGTATGTGGTAGCACAGGTTCCTGTGATAGCCACAGTGTCTCTAGTGAAGTCCACATCTCAGCTTTGGCAGGGAAAGGTCTTCTGAGTTCTTTGTTCCTCCCTCTTAGACTGCCCAGCATAGTGAAGAGGTGATATTTGTATTTTAGGAATCATAGAATGATCTACTTATCATTTCAGATTCTGAAAACAGGAATAAGATGAAGGAACGAAAATCAAAGATGGAAATTTCTGAAGAAAAGGAGTCAGCGAGGGCTGCATCCGAAAAACTCCAAAGACAGATCACCCAGGAATGTGAGTTAGTTGAAACCGGTAATTCTGAGGACAGATTATTGAAGCACTGGGTAAGCCCTTTAAAGGATGCAGTGAGACATCTCCCTTCCCAAGAGAGAGGTATCAGGGAAATGCGTATTATCCCCAAGAAAGCCACTGTGGGAGAGATTGGCCATGGATGTAATGAAGGAGAAAAAATACTTTCTGCAGGAGAAAGCTCCCATAGATATGAGGTTAGTGGCCAAAACTTCAAACATAAGTCAGGATTAACTCAACATCAGAAAATTCATAATATAAATAAGACCTATGAATGTAAGGAATGTGGAAAAACCTTCAACAGGAGTTCAAACCTGATAATACATCAGAGAATTCATCCTGGAAATAAACCATATGTGTGTAATGAATGTGGGAAAGACTCTAATCAAAGTTCACATCTTATACATCAGAGAATTAATACAGGAAAGAAACCTTACATATGTCATGAATGTGGAAAAGACTTCAATCAGAGCTCTAATCTGGTGAGACATAAGCAAATTCACAGAGGCGGGAATCCCTATGAGTGCAAAGAGTGTGGGAAGGCTTTTAAGGGAAGCTCAAACCTTGTCCTACACCAGAGAATCCACAGTGTGGGGAAGCCTTATTTATGCAATAAATGTGGGAAGGCCTTCAGTCAAAGTTCACACCTTGTCACACATCAGAGAATTCACACTGGAGAGAAACCCCTCAAGTGTAATGAATGTGAAAAAGCCTTCAGGCAGCATTCTCACCTTACTGAACACCAGAGACTCCACAGTGGAGAGAAACCCTATGAATGTCACAAACGTGGGAAGACCGTCAGTGGGCGCACAGCTTTCCTCAAACATCAGAGACTGCATGCTGGAGAAAAACTTGAAGAATGTGAGAAAACCTTCAGCAAGGATGAGGAGCTTACAGAAGAGCAGAGACTTCACCAGGAAGAAAAAGCTTATTGGTGTAAGCAGTGTGGTAGGAATTTCCAGGGCAGCTCAGACCTCATCAGACATCAGGTAACTCATACAGGAGAGAAACTGTATAAATGTAAAGAATGTGGGAAAACTTTCAATCAGAGCTCAGACCTTCTGAGACATCATAGAATTCACAGTGGAGAAAAACCTTGTGTATGTAGCAAATGTGGGAAATCTTTTAGGGGCATCTCAGATCTTACTAGACACCATCGTATTCATACTGGAGAGAAACCCCATGAATGTAGTGAATGTGGGAAAGCCTTCAGCCAGCGGTCACACCTTGTTACACACCAGAAAATCCATACTGGAGAGAAGCCCTATCGGTGCAATGAATGTGGGAATGCCTTCAGACGGCGTTCCCTCCTTATTCAACATCAGAGAATTCACAGTGGTGAGAAGCCCTATGAATGTAAGGAATGTGGGAAACTCTTCATTTGGTACATGGCTTTCCTCAAACATCAGAGATTGCATGCTGGAGAGAAACTTGACTGTGAGAAAACCTTCAGCCAGGATGAAGAGCTTACGGAAGAGCAGAGAACTCACCAGGAAGAGAAAGCTTATTTGTGTAATCAGTGTGGTAGGAATTTCCAGGGCAGCTCAGACCTCATCAGACATCAGGTAACTCATACAGGAGAGAAACCGTATGAATGTAAAGAATGTGGGAAAACTTTCAATCAGAGCTCAGACCTTCTGAGACATCATAGAATTCACAGTGGAGAAAAACCTTATGTATGCACCAAATGTGGGAAATCTTTTAGGGGTAGCTCAGATCTTATTAAACACCATCGTATTCACACTGGAGAGAAACCCTATGAATGTAGTGAATGTGGGAAATCCTTCAGCCAGAGGTCACACCTTGCTACACACCAGAAAATCCATACTGGAGAGAAGCCCTATCAGTGCAATGAATGTGGGAGTGCCTTCAGGCGGCGTTCCCTCCTTATTCAACATCGGAGAATTCATAGTGGTGAGAAACCCTATGAATGTAAGGAATGTGGGAAACTCTTCATGTGGTGCACAGGTTTCCTCAAACATCAGAGACTGCATGCTAGAGAGAAACTTGAAGAATCCGAGAAAACCTTCAGCAAAGATGAGGAGCTTAGGGAAGAGCAGAGACTTCACCAGGAAAGGAAAGTTTATTTGTGTAATCAGTGTGGTAGGACTTTCCAAGGCAGCTCAGACCTCATCAGACATCAGGTAACTCATACAAGAGAGAAACCGTATGAATGTAAAGAATGTGGGAAAACTTTCAATTGGAGCTCACACCTTGTGAGACATCACAGAATTCACAGTGGAGAAAAACCTTATGTATGCACCAAATGTGGGAAATCTTTTAGGGGTAGCTCAGATCTTATTAAACACCATTGTGTTCATACTGGAGAGAAACCTCATGAATGTAGTGAATGTGGGAAATCCTTCAGCCAGAGATCACACCTTGTTACACACCAGAAAATCCATACTGGAGAGAAGCCCTATCAGTGCACTGAATGTAGGAAAGCTTTCAGGTGGCGTTCCCTCCTTATTCAACATCAGAGAATTCACAGTGGTGAGAAGCCCTATGAATGTAAGGAATGTGGGAAACTCTTCATGTGGCGCACGGCTTTCCACAAACATCAGAGATTGCATACTGGAGAAAAACTTGAATGTGAGAAAACCTTTAGCAAGGATGAGGAGCTTAGGAGAGAGCAGAGAACTCACCAGGAAGAGAAAGCTTATTGGTGTAATCAGTGTGGTAGGAATTTCCAGGGCAGCTCAGACTTCATCAGACATCAGGTAACTCATACAGGAGAGAAACCCTACGAATGTAAAGAATGTGGGAAAACTTTCAATCAGAGCTCAGACCTTCTGAGACATCATAGAATTCACAGTGGAGAAAAACCTGATGTATGCACCAAATGTGGGAAATCTTTTAGGGGAAGCTCAGATCTTATTAGACACCATCGTATTCATACAGGAGAGAAACCCTATGAATGCCCTGAATGTGGGAAGGCCTTCAGTCGGAACTCACACCTTATCGGTCATCAAAGAATTCATACCAGAGAGAAACCCTTTGAATGTAGCAAAGGGTAAGGCCTTCAGTGGGCGGACAGCTTTTCTTAAACACCAGAAACTTCACATTGGAAAGGAATTTGAGGACTGTGAGAGTCTACAAACAGGACCTATTCTAATAGATAGCAGAAACCTAATGAATATAGTAAAACTACAAAAAGCCTGATGGAGACCACATCTTATTGCACTACAGATGGGTTTTATTAGGAAAACCATGTAAAGGTGGGAAAGCATAGAAAATTCCTGCTGGAGTTTTCAAAGATGTAAGTATAATCAAGTGGAAAAGCTAAAAGCTCTTGAACGTAATCACCTTTTTTTTTCTGTCTCAGAATTGACATTAGAATATGGTCCCAATGATACAATTTTTTAAATTATTTATTTTTTTAAAATACAAAGAGACGAGGTCTCACTATGTTGCCCAGGCTGGTCTTGAACTCCTGGGCACAAGCAGTCCTCCCACCTCAGCCTCTCAAAGGGTTGGGATTACAGGCATGAGCCACTGCACAAATGTGTCAGGGGATGTCTATCATTATTAAAATCATTATAAATCACTTTGGCAACAACCCCAAAACTAAATTATTCATGGAAAGAGCCATTTCAATCTTGACTTCCTAGTCGAGTGACAAGTTTAAATGCGGGAAAAAACCCTGTGAAAGTAAGGAGTGTAGGCCAGGTGTGGTGGCTCGTACCTGTAATTCCAGCACTTTGGGAGGCCGAGGTAGGTGGATCACGAGGTCAGGAGTTGATCACGAGGAGTTACTATGCCTGGCCAACATAGTAAAGCCCTGTCTCTACTAAAAATACAAAAACTAGCTGGGCATGGTGGGGCATGCCTGTAGTCCCAGCTACTTGGGAGACTAAGACAGGAGAATCACTTGAATCTGGGAGGCAGAGGTTGCAGTGAGCTAAGATCGCGCCACTGCACTCCAGCCTGGGCAACAAGAGTGAAACTCCATCCCAAAAAAAAAAAAAAAAAAAAAAAGTCTAACTCTTTTACTTGTCTTTATGATGCTGTACAGTGAGAGCTAATGTTTATAAGGATAAACAGGATACCTAAAGGGATTTGAAGGTAATTTAATGCAGTGGTTTCCAACTTTTTAATCACCAAGGCCTTCTTTTTACTCCCCTATGTCCTGTGTTTTAAAAGATTATGTTTACCAAACTGCATTTATTAAATAATTATATTTTGCTACATAAAGGCATGTACAACACAAATCATGCTTCTGACTGGCACCATGTAGGCAGACCTAGGTACTAAAATTCCAGCCCAAAGCAAATAATTAAACATTTTCATTAGCCTTTTTATCCCTTTTGTGGGCAAACCTATCACCTATGTTAGGCTTTTTGAAATATGAACTATTACTTGTAAACTGCAGATTAAAAACTAACCAATTCATCTTTGATGGAGCTTGAATCAAACTAAGGGTACTGGACTTTTGAAAGATTGAAATTTTTGTTACACTACGGAATGTTTTCAACTGTGAATGTGGAAATAAAACTTATTTAAGAATTACTTAGTGACTGTTTAGTATGTGCCAGGGTCCATAATTAGATGGGGCCAAAGAAAGACAGTCATTGTTCAAAGAATTTACAGTCCAGTGGGGGCTGAAGGAGGACAAAGAGTTAACCTTCCGATAATCAGATAATCCATGAAATAAAAGCCCACCTATTCAAAGCTTTGATAGGTAGCAGAAGCTAATGTAGTAGTGTCCAGTTTGTAAACCTGAATTCTGTAAAATAAAACCTACCTGTTAAGGAGCCGTCTACTTTGGAACTTTGAGAAAAGAGCCTAAATGATCAAAGTTTGCCTTCATAAGATTTTAAACAGCTAAAGAACCAAACTCCAAGAGGACCAAAGCTGAGAAAGTCAGAGTCTGATAATCTCTTTGAGGAAGAGGGGTGATTGGAATGTGGCTTAGGAGAGGTTTCTTCATACAAATATTTGATAGTGATAGAGGCAGGACAGGAAGTTGAGACATTCTAAGCAGATGTGGCAGGCCCCCAGTGAAACCCCACCTTTGAGCCGAAAAGCCTGAAACCCACAGCCCAAAGTAAGAACTTCTATTCCTCTTTGCTTGCTCCCTCCTAGTTGGTTCTTTCTGAATAATGTCTTCTTACCAATTGAATGTTGCCCTTTCCAAAACTATCTATGGCCGCCCCACCCTCATTCTGTGCCTATAAAGACCCCATACTCAGTCAGTAGATGAGAGAGATGGCCAGACTTTTGGGAAGAGATAGCCAGACTTTAGGGAGAAGATGACCGGCCCTTTCTATCCCCTCTCTAGCTCCCCTCTCCACTGATAGCCATTGTGACCACTCTATAAAATTCTCCACCTTCATCATCCTTCAAGTGTTCCACACAACCTCATTCTTCTTGTATGCCAGACAAGAGCTCGGGAGCCACCAAGTTTGGCTACCCAAAAGGCTGTCACACCCGCTCTTTGCCCTCACTGGTGGCGGGTAGCCACCCCACACAATGAGGCTAGGGGCCAGCTGAGCTGTTAACACACAGCCATCCTCAAACAGTGGCACTAAGAGAGCACTGTAACACTCCCTCTGGGGCTTTGGGGTCACAGGCACCCCCACTTGGGCACCACCAGACCCCAAATGGAGCTTGCTCCTGAAGCTGCCCAGAGCAGCCAGCTAGATCCTGCAGTCATTTGCTCATGCCTGCTCTGGTCACAGGCCCCGCATAGAGCTTGCTCGTGCTGGTGCTGGTAGTGGCCAGCCAGATCCTGCACTCGCTTGCTTACCTGCACACTCCTGCAAGAGGCTGAGCGCAGTGGGCTGAGTAAACAGGGTGCCCCATCCTGAGTCCCACGAAGGAATCAAGGAAAAAAATCCTGCATCAATAGGAAATAAGACTGTCACTACCGTCCCTGAGGGAGCGAGTGCATGACTGTGGTAGAATAAGTGAATGCTAGCCAATAATCTGCCAATATAGTCCACTTCTCTCTTTTTTTTTTTTTTCCTGAGATGGAGTCCCACTCTGTTGCCTAGGCTAGAGTGCAGTGGCATGAACTTGGCCCACTGCAACCTCTGCCTCCCGGGTCAAGTGATTCTCCTGCCTCAGCCTCCTGAGGAGCTGGGATTACAGGTGCAAGCCGGTACACCCAGCTAATTTTTGTAGTTTTGGTAGAGACAGCGTTCCACCATGTTGGCCAGCCTGGTCTCAAATTCCTGGTTATCTGCCTGCCTTGGCCTCCCAAAGTCCTGGGATTACAGGTGTGAGCCACTGCACCCAGCCTCACCTGTCTTGATTTTTAATGCCCTTAGAGTGAGGCCACCATTATTTCTTGCTTGTACTATTACCACAGCCTCCTAACATGCCTCCCTGATTCCAACCCTTCTCTACAGGGCAGCTGGAATGATCTTCCTTTAGAACAAATCTGATAGTGCCACCCCCTCTCTGAATTTCCACAGTGATTTCCCACTACAGCCTGAAGTCCAAAGTCCTTAATGTGACATA